CCAATCCATAATTAATAAGAGAGAGGCTGATTTTTGTCATAACTTTTGTGTGCGTCTGTTTTCCTGTTTGTTTAAGACAGGGGTGTCAAACATGCAGCCCGGGGGGGCCAGATGAGGCCCCCAGAGGGATTCTCTCAGGCCCACAGTGGGACTGGTTGTCTACTGCTGCTGCTTCCAGTTCTGCTGCTGCAGCTGCAGCATCATGGTAGGTTTGCAGCTTACAAATACACACCTGAACAGCATACTCAAGATTGCAATAGCACAGATATTTTGATGCAATAATTCAGAGCAAGAGGTGTCAGTTATCAGACACAGTTAAATAAACAAAGTATTACAAGAGTGTTAATGTTTTAAGCATGTTTTTAAGTTAAAAGAAACCTTTGTGTTTGTGTCCTTTATAACGTTTATATCTCTGCTACCTGGCACTACATTTTATGACACACAAGGTCTCATTTATGTCAGATCCGGCCCTCATAACACATGAGTTTGACATCCCTGGTTCAAGAGCATTGTAGCACTAGACTTACAAGCCAGGTTTTTTCCCTTTCATGTTCAACCGAGGTTTTTCTGCGCCACCAAAGCAGCGTTTCTTAACACTGTGACTGTCTTCAGCTGTCTTTTCTCCTTTCTTTCTGATATTTCCTCAAGCACTATTAGCTCTTGCCACTAAAAAGGAGGTAGTGTTTAAGGTGCTGTGGAACTCCTTGTTCTTGGAAAACTTGTCAATCCTCTTCTTTTTTATAAATACATTCTTTTAGACAAGAATTTAAGGATTGCATCTGGCCTTTTAACAGCAACAGTTCAGTTGACTATATGCCTGTAGATTTTGTGATACATGCAAAACTCAAAATGTAAAAAAAAAGTTCTGGAATGGCTGAAATGGCTTCACATTTTGTGAAAACAGTTTTCTTCACCAGAAGAAAAATTATTGTACAATATTTTGGCTGAAAAAATAGACTTGAACTGATAAAACTGATTTACGGAATGGAAAAGATGCACAGCAGACGGAATTGACTTGGAAAACTTGCAAGTAAAAGTTATGTCATTTTGTCTAGTTGGGTGTCCTTTTTGTTGCAGTTTTATGTTTAATGTCCATATAGTATTTCTGAAATAAAATATTTAAAAATACAAAATCAATTACAGCTTAGAAGTAAAAATTATTTCTTGTGTTCATTAATTTAGGAAAAATTGAAAGTTGCAAATGCTGAAGAGAGAACTTCAATTCTTTATGTTTTTATGTCTTTACTTCTGATTCATCTAGGAATTATCGTTTTGTTACAAGGGCTTCTTACAGCTTCTTTGCAAACAGGCAAATAATGGAAGTGAACAGTTGCCAGGAATCCAAGTGAGATCTCTGGATAGCTTTATGCTTATGTACTGTTTATATTTATTACTTGTTGTGAGACCTCATGTGTCTGTGCCACTTCCTAATCACGGACCCACAACAACCAGTGTTTGGACTGCAGAAAGATTGTTAATCAACATATCCATTCTCTGTAATGTGAAGTTGTACAGTTTGAGTTATGTGAATTGGTTTCCTTATACTGCCTGTTGGTCCATCTTCTGCTGTGAATTTTGACCTTGTTTTGCTCTTTACGTGTAATGGGCTGCTGGCCTCTGGTCCTGATGCTTCGTGCAGCCCCCCTGGAGCAGCTGCTTTCCATGCAGAAGGTCCCCCAGTTCAGTCTCTGGAATCTCCTGTTCTCAAGTTGGATCTCAAGTGGGAGATGTTGGGAGTAACCTCCCCTGCCTGAGACCCTGGAAGACCCCTTTTTAAAAAAGCTGTTTATTAAAACATCTACTCCTGCCTTTCCAAAGAGCTCAGGGGTGGCTAACACAGCTTGGTGGCGAAGAAGAAGAAGAAGAAGAAGAAGAAAGAAGAAGAAGAAGAAGAGCAGCAGCAGCAGCAGCAGCAGCAGGAGTAGGAGTTGATTTTTATACCCTGCTTTTCACTACCCGAACGAGTCTTGGACCAGCTTATAATTGCCTTCCCTTCCTCTCCCCACAACAGACACCATGTGGGGTAGGTGGGGCTGAGAGAGCTCTGAATGAACTGTGACTAACCCAAGGTCACCCAGCTGGCTTCATGTGGAGAAGGAGTGGGGAATCAAACCCAGTTCTCCGGATTAGAGTCCGCTGCTCTTAACCACTACACCACACTGGCTGCAGTTGCTGATTGCCTATCTCACCAGGGTTACCACCAGGATCATCCATGACAAATGTGCTCATCTCTCCCAGTTGGCAGCCATCCATGACCTGGAAAGGGTAAGGCCGGGCCTTTGCTCTCTGCAAGCATTGCATTGGGGGGGGAGGGAGGGATTAGATGCAGCATTCAGGTCCCAAAAACTGACATTGGGCTGCATCACACACTTGCTGTTTTTCAGCCTGGTTGAAGGGCAAGTGGATTGGGAAATGCCTGGAGATTTGGGGGGTGGAGCCTGAGGAGGGCAGGGTTTGGGGAGAGGAGGGTCATTAACAGAACATAATGCCAAAGTGACAATTTTCTCCACGCGAATTGATCTTTGTTGCCTGGAGATCAGTTGTAATCCCAGGAGATCTCCAGCCACCACCTGGAGGTTTGGCAAGCCTACTGTGATACCTGTTCGGCTCCCTGTCCCTCTCCCTGACCCAGGCCTTGTTCCCGTGCCATCTCTGTCCTCGTCAGACTGTGCGAGAGTCAGACTGGACTGTGCGATTGAACAACAACAACAACACAAATGTTGAGTACTGATCAGCAGGGTTTTTCCCCCTGGGGAAACGTGCAAGAACAGAGTTCCAGAACCTTTTGGACAGAATCCTTCTAAAATGTTTAAAAGTTCGTGAGTTTTCAGTATACAGACTGAAAACTTCATTTCTCTCTTGAGGGTTCCGACACCTCTATTTAAAAAAACAAACAAACAAAAGCCCTGCTGATCAGAGATTCCTTTACGGAAGGTGTACACAACCACAGAGTGCAGTTAGGGGGTGCTACCTGGAGATCCTGGGGGTGGAGCCTGAGGAAGGTGGGGTTTAGGGAGGAAGGAACTTCAGATAGGTTATAATGCCATGGAGCCCGCCTTCCAAAGTGGCCATTTTCTCCAAAGAGAAAGAACTGATATTGTCAAGACAGAGAAAGGAAGCCTGGAGCTCTATATTCAGTGCATCTGGGAGAATAAAGAATTATGGGTCCTGAAGATCTCACATTTAAAATTAAGAACAAGTTTCTAGCCCTCTGAAAGCAAAGATCTGGAGGGCTGCCCGTCACTACAACCTCTCCACCTTCCTTACCAGCTGCTGCTCCCCAGTTTCCTTCTCTTTATCCCACTTGTCCTAGCAAAAGAACATGCCAAATGGTTTAGGGACTAAACCTGGGAAGCAGAGGGAGTATCGTGGTGAGCAAAACTGCTCACAGAGGCAGTGCCTATCTGCTCACAGAGGCAGTGTCTATCTCACCACGGTGACCACCTCAACCATCTGTGACAAATGTGCTCATCTGTCCCAGGTGGCAGCCATCCCTAACCTGGAAGGATAGGGCCGGCTTTTGCCCTCTGCTAGCACTGGGTTGGGGGGGGAGGATTACGTGCAACATTCAGGTCTAAAAGTTGCCATTCGGCCTTTAGTATCTGAGGCCTCCCACGTCACACACTGGCTGGGTTTCAGACTGGCTGAAGAGCATATGTTTCTGAGCACAAGCAGAGCACACATTCCTCATTCGTCTCTCAGTGGTGCCTCCCACAGAGGCCAGCATCTGACTCAGCCAATCTAGAGCACAACTACTAGGTTTGGTACCTCCTAGCCGTGCTCCCCCCCGTGTCTTCTGGGTGGCACATCCCTCTCACTTTTTCTGCCACTTTCATAGCCTTGCTTTTCCATCTCTTTTTTCAGATGACTGAGATCTTGGACTACTGCGGTCCAAACTTGGACCTGTTCACCTGGTGTCTTACTCCAGCCTAGGTACGGTAAGTGCTGGCCCTCCAAACTGACTTCTGCAGCAAAGATATCAAGCGATTGTGCTTGTAGCCATCTGGAACATCTCCCTGCAAGGCCTGAAACCCCATCCTGATAGTGCCGGCTGCTCAGAAGGGTCGAGAGTTGAATCAAGACCTCTCCTAACAGGGAAATGGCTGAACTGCTCATTGTGAAGCTCAGCTGATCC